CCGTTTCAACAAGCTGTTGGAGAACGGGTTTGGCACGGGCTCCAAACTCATTCCGCCTCCACACCCCTTCATCCGCAGAGAACAAGCTTACAGTGCTCAATGGCAAAACCGCGACGTGACCGCACGCTCGCAACGGAAGCTGCTCTATTTTACAAGATGCTCCTCCTCCTCCGCAGTTGCTCATTAAATGACTCAAGGGTCGGCTTGTTTACTTCGAGTTACAGCGTGCAGTATAGCCTCCCACGCGCGCTGGGAACTCTTATGTATTTTTTTGCGAAGCGGCTGATAATACCACGGCCCGCGTTTATTTGTTCCTCACGCTTATCCTTTTCTGTGATGTACATCTGATTGGTGAAAAATGTTAGGGACAATATCTTCATCTTCAACTTCATTAATTTTCTTTTGACTGAGAAGTGATCGGCAGTTGTAGGTATTGGTGTAGCGGCATGGATCAACTGAACAAGTTGGTAGGAAGGCTTGAAATAGTGACGGCTAAGCTGGAAAATCTCGGACAGAACAAGCCACAGCTCGCTCCAAAGCCTGCCCATTTGGACAGCGGCACCACTGGTGAGTAAATAGTTTCCATTGTTTATTTCTTGAAATGCTTGTCCTTGGTTCTAGTCAGAGTCGGGAAATGTGTTGTTGAGTGCTCAAGTTTTCCTGTTACATTAAAGGAGTGGATTTCCTTAGCTCTCCAGACTCAAAATCCAGTACAGATAATGAGTGGTTGAGGACGCCGTGTGACACTTCGCTAATAATTAAGGATGCATATTTTTTCACTTAACGAGAACAACACGGAAATTACAATTAGTGGCCTGGTTCTAATACTGTCTGCCAGAGTTCCAGTTACTACGATGAGAAATGGTTGAACTCGCGTTCCTGTTCGCGATGATTACCGTCTTATTCGTTTTGTTTGCTAGGTAATTGTGGATCTAAATAGGTGGGTCAGAAGTTGTGTCTGATGAGTAACCTTAAGCCATTAAGTGTAGGGCGGAGTTTTTCAAAAAACTGCAGTCTTAGTTTCGTTGCGGCATCTGCGACCGTACACTTCTGGCACATTGCAGAGCATTTCAAAGTGGCCTATTTTCGAGTGCGCTTTCTTTTCGATCTAGTGAGAATGTACACTTGAAAACGATTATGATTATGTGGATCGGAACAGTCTTTCTGCCTTCTGCAGGGTTCAGTGATATATAATACGTCTGGTAAGCTGGTTTGTCAGTCCTACTTTGTGCGAGGAATGAAGGGTTTAGTATAGGTTTCGAATTAATGAAAGAAGGAGTACACTGTTATTCCATTGAAACATCAGCTGAAGTTTACGATATGAATGAGTTATCAATGAATGCTTTCAATTTCGCGGATTTTTCGACGATTGCTGCTTCTCAAAGATACAAGGTGGGACAGTTCGGCGGCAAAGGGGGGGGGCATTTTGCCCTTTTGTTACTTCCCGTCGACGTATCTACCCATCTAGAGAGCAAGTACAAGGGTTTACAGGTTCTCAAATGGTGGCTAGACGAGCTTGCTCCAGTTCCCAAAAGTTCACAGGTTTCACCAGAGTGAGACTTCTAAATTGGAACTAGCGAAGCAGCGAAAGTCAAAATGCCCCCCCCCTGGCCGAAGTGCGCCAAGAAGGTGATGCGCTCTTAACCTATTTTCTATCATCTTCGATAATTTTAGCAGTTAATGCAGATAGCACATTTTTTCCAAAGCACAGCGACAAACCAGAAAGAGGCTCGATCCTCAGCGTGAGTACAATCGCCTAGCCTTAGGAATGTGGTCATCACTCGACCTGAAAAAAGCAATCAGAAATTCATTCGACTCGTCAAACTGTCTGCGCTTTTCAAAGCGTTTAGCATTTCCTTCTGCATTTGGTGTACTTCAGCTGGGACTTTTGATGGATTGTCCTCTAATACTTCAGTTGGTCCTGCAGGAAATAGGCTTGACGCATAATTTCTTTCAGGGCTGAAGCCAAAAACGGGAGAAACATCTTGTCAAGATATTTTTTTATTTTATTTTCTAACGAATGTCCATCAATACCCCCAAATCCGGAAGAAATCGCACAACAATTTGGGTCACTTTGAAATGCTTTGCAATGTGCAATAGTGTACGGTTGCAGGTCCCACAACGGAAACTAAGTACTGCTGTTTTTTGAAAAATCCAGCGCCTACACCTAATGGCCTATAACACCTGGATGCGTTCTCAATGAGCTTCATTTTTGTTCATCATCCATCAGGTATACTGGCGCATTGGTCTAAAGTAGTGACACATCAGGCCTTTCTGAGTTAACATTGCTCAAGTCATCTTCTGCAATTGATCACACCATGGCCGCAACTTCTTCCGCAATTCATCGATCATTGGCGCAGCTGCTCATGTTGTGTCCATCACAGAATTGTTCCCCGATGACTAAGATCACGAAAATGGAAATACTGTCGAATAAAACGACTATCACACCGATGGCCATCTCATGGGCGCTTTTGCCTCCAGAGCCGTAACCGGTTTTTCACAAAAGTCGTTGGAGATTGCGTCCAACTCACTACTTCCCAAATTTGAATTGTTGCCCACCATCTTGAAACTGTCTTTAGTAGATGACATCGTTTCTATTAAGGAGGCGACTAGTGTGGGCGGGCCCTCGATTCACTAACCCAGCGAAATAGTAAATTTGACCTTTTCTTAAAGGAATAGTTCACCTGAGGAACCCACTTTGTTGCGCACTAGCTAGCGTATATCTCAGTAGCCGACTTGACAACATGTTTGTTTTGACAAGACGTTCCAGCATATTCCTGATATCTGTTTTGGACCCCGACTGCTGCTTCTTAGAGCTGGTTGTTGCCAGCGAAGTTCACTAGATCACGATCCATTCTTCATGTGTCGCTGCTGCGGGGCCATCTGGGAACACTTGTCCCCATGTTTCCGAAGCGCCTCCCATTTCTCTTCACTGTCCGCTTTAAACAGCCCTCATAAAGCTTCCTGTATGCTTTACCATTCTCAATAAGTTTTAAGGTGCCTTTTCACGGCCAATGTGAGATTTTTCCATTGTTTTGCAGTGTTTGCGAGTCATTTTGTCGCAGTTGTGCGCATCCTTAAAAGTTTCGCCTTTAACACTGAGAACACATGAATGCCTCAGATTTCTTTCGCATTTCAATGCCCTACGAAATTCGGGAGAAAGAAGAATTCAGCGGTGGTGCACATGCCGAGCGGTACCGTGCGGCGACGAAGGTCCGAATGTGGACAGGCGCTGCCATCACTGTGATTTGATAGACTAGCTCTTTGTCAGCTCATGTTTGCCTTCAGCTGGTAGCGCCCGAACGCACAGTGGTAAATACAATCGGTAATCACAGTAGCATTAGCATATCTCTGAAAAATGTCTTCCCTGATTTTCAAATGTGCTTCTCAGTTACGTTTTGCCTTTTCCCTTGTCCTCCCTGTTTTTACCATTCATCGGCAAAGCGCCAGTAAGTTCAGTGCCTTTGGGCTGCAGTGGTACAGCGCTGACTCTTGTTCCCTTTTCGGCGCGTCATCGCTCCGACGAGAGCAAATACGTTCGGGTCGCCGCGGAGTTTTACCGTGGAGCCACGAAATTTAGGCATTATGGGATCGTTGTATTTATCTTTGAAGTTTGAAGAGAATCGAAAAAAAATACATAGGTGCAGCTATTCTACTATTCCTGATGCATAGTGTCATTCGGCTCGCCGGCGCATCCTTCTGTGATACGGCGCGGCTTCGCCGGGCGGGCGTGCTTTTGCCGCGCGTACCTTCTTCCTTGTTTTTTTACTAAACTAATGCTCCGCTTTTCTTTTGTCTGTATACATGGTCAACGCTCCTTAAACAGTGGGATCACACTTCGCTTCTTCCAACACAATTACCTTCTATGGAATGGAGGTAAGGAGCGCTGATCAAGTGCACATATGATAGAAAAGCTGGGTATTAGTTGGGTATTTATACATACGAAACACAATCGCCCGGCGAAGCTGAGCCGTATCATAGGTGGAGGCACACTGGCGTTAGCCGGCAGCCGACTGGCATCAAATACACCTGTGACGACCGGTGTGTAAGGGTGTTTCTACCAATGCACTGAAACTCGGTAAAATATAAGTACTTAGTGCTTGAGGGCGTGCTCCGCCCACCGTTACAGCTCTCGCGAGATGTTCCGCTTCTCCAACGATTTTTACTCTGCAACCGATTCTGAATTTTTGTTTTCTTCCCCCACCCCCCCCCCCCCCTAGTCGAATGCTCGTCCGCAATGGGCGTCTCCCATTTCAGTAGCCAATCTTATTAGTCATTTTTTACGACCAATGGGGTGCTCTGGAAGTGACTCACGAATTTTGAGCTTTGGTTCCGCCCAACTCTGTGCCCGCACTGCCCGCTCAGTGTTGCCTCTTCCACTTATTCCACCATCAACTGCTCACTTGAAGCCTTTATAGCCCAGGATTACGGATTTTGGATTTAGCTCTGCCCACCTCGACGCAGGCTCCGTAAACATGGCGGGTGTTCCGCACTTCTCAAGCGATGACCCCTCGCTGACCTCAGTCCACTTTTTTCCGAGGTCTGGAGTGCTCTGGAATCGTTCTACAGCGTTTTATCTGGCTCCGCCCACTCGGCGCGGTCCCTACCCACAATTTATGTGCCCCGCACTTCTCAATGGCAGCCCCCTCGCTGGCCTTAATCGACTTCTTTTTCGGTGTGTGGAGGGCTCTGGGACCAGAGCATTAGTTATCTTGCAACTAGGCTCCCGCGCTCATTACCGACATGCTACGGTCGATGAGACCTGATAGAGCGACAACAGTTTGAACCGAACTCTCCACAAGTGTTTGCCGTTTCTTTGTACAGATATGACGCTATGACCGGAACGTTGGAGCACCGATGTTTTCCTATGTTTTCCTATGGCAGTAAGAGAGAAGTGGAATTTCCTTCTCACTCGTTAGTACAAGGCATAATATTAATCAAGCGCGTCGTATTGGTTTGCCTCTAGCGCATTGATCTGTTTAATATCGTAGAGGGATCAAATGAGCACTGGAAAAGTATTCCAATGCGACTCTGTCAAAACAAATCGACTTCAGCGAAAGAATGGTAAGTCGATGTAGTCTAATTCAGAAATCTTTCCGTTTCCGAAGTCCTTTGTATGTCTGCAGTTCTAATTTATTGTTAAGGGGGTTCGGCGGAGGCTCCTCCACACATCAAGGCTTACGATGCTGCGTTGACGGATGTCATCGAAAAATGGGCAGCCCTATCAGACGAGCTGGGAGGTGACGTCAAGATCATGGTGCGTTAACGAAAGATATGAAATTTGTTAGCAAAACTAGAAACTGTAATACATTACAGCGAGAGAAAGTCACTAATGTGTTCAATCTACTGAAACTGTTTCTGTGGACAGCTGCTGGCCAAGCTGAGCCATCGGCTGATGAGGTTCAGAAACTGTTCTCGCCTATCTTTAATCTTCTTTCGGAAATAAACAGCTTCAAGGTGATCTTTTACAACATGTAGTTTTTTTTGAGGGCTTCGAAGTTTTGAGACTAGTTTCAAAAGTGTCTGTGCTCAGGATTCTCGAAGGCAAGCTCCACAATTCAACCACTTATCTGCGGTCGCGGAGGGAATTCCTGCCGTTGGATGGGTTTTTGTAGTACGTTCTAATAACCGTTTGATTAGTCACACTGTAACATTATGGATTATGGAAATATTTAGAAAAAAACTCCTGCTCCTTATGTCAAAGAGATGCTCGACTCTTCTATGTTCTATATCAACCGCGTTCTGAAAGAGTTTAAGGTAACACAATTCACATTTTTCGATGTCATG